AGGAATAATAATAATAATATCCAATCTTATGACCATTCTTCATCATCATTGATGATGTAGTTGTTATAGTCCTAGGCCGGATTGTTGTTAATACCCTATGAGGGTATATCATCATAGGTAGGATACTAGTAGCAGCAGCACTACTACCCCATCGTAAGGAAGGTCTAAGGAGAGTTGATGATAAAGAGGAGGACATCATCACTATCACCAAAAAACAACAGTAATAGCTGAGTGGATGCAAAGTAGACGGCATATTTCGGCAATATACCATGACAGTCCTTGTTAATAGCGCACGCCCAGATGATCGATTATAGTTGTAATCGGGTGGTGGTGGCCGACGGTGTAGGGTGATATATGGGTGAGATGATGCATTGTTGTTGTTGAGTTGTAGTGTTATTATCAAACTTGTAGTCTAGTAGTGTACTCGTGTTGTTGTTGTTGTTGAGTTGTAGTGTTATTATCAAACTTGTAGTCTAGTAGTGTACTCGTGTTGTTGGTGTTGTTATGACTACTACTACTATGAAATATTTAACTTATACTACTACAGAAAGGGAATCTTCTAGTATGGGTATAATAACCTTAACACATGATGATAATGATGATGGAGAATCATGTTATCATTGGGGTACACGTAAGATTGAGAATAGGTAATATTATGATAATGATGATATTATTATTGGTATTATAGGTTAACCAGTATGATGTTAGATGAGATATCTACCATTATAAAGGATATCCATGATAGTAATACTATTAAATATCTTATAATTACTCAAAAACCCGATAATAGGCAATAATACTACCTCTTCTTTTTATTTAGTATACTCCTTCATTAGATTCTGGTGTAATGGTATAGATCTAAAATGGTTAAGTATACATGGTAGGATTAATGAGTTCATTACACAACTACAACAGTAATCATTATAGTCATAGTAGTGATGATGATGATGATCTTTATTAGGATTATGAGTGATATACTTACATTGCCAATACCCACTATAGCCATCATTAATGGACATGCTACAGGTAATAATAGGATATATTACTAGTAGTAGTAACATGATCGTAGTACTCTCAGCTGGAGGTCTACTATTAGCTATGTGTTGTGATTATCGTATAGTAATTGGTAATAATAAGGATAGTTTATACTTCATACCTGGAGTTGAATTAGGTCTACATTATACTAGAGGTAGTAGTAATGTTATTATATCAATGATTTTTATCATGTATATTATTGTTATTAGGTATGGTTGAATTGATACGTAGTAAAGTACCATCTACTACAGCTAGAGATATGTTATGTTATTCTAGACGATATACAGCTAAAGATGCCCTTAGGGTTGGTATCATTGATTATATATTGCCTAATTATGATCTCAATATGACCACTACCTTCATTACGGTAATAATAGTAATAGTATGGTTATTGATGATAGGATGTTAGGAACATATCATTACTAAACCCTTCAATAGGGTATCTCTAGGTAAAGTAAAGAGGTCTATGTATCATACTATTATCAAACATCTAAATACACATAATAAATATGATGATGATATTATGGGTATTAATACCATGTTACATTCTACTACTAAATCCAAACTATAATATTATGTATCCTCTTATAATCATCATCATCACCACGTTGAGTTTGACTGTATAGTAACATGCCATACTCTAACATTAGTTCACTATACTATGGCCCAATATCACTACTACTAGTATGATGATGATGATGAAACGTAATACATCTAATACTCTGTCATCAGTGTCATCAGAGGTATACATATACAGCGTGGGTGTTGTTGTATAATGATGATGATTAATAATTAGGTAAGGTCAATAGGTAGGATATCATCATGGAGGCTATGTCGTATTATTATAATCTTATTATTAATAATAATACCACTAATGATGCATATAACCCAACAAGGATGGTGGTTGTGGTGGTATACTCTACATGTAGTAGTACTCATTATTACAACTAAAGATTAGTATACATTCAGGAAGGTGATGGTGGTCATGCTGTACCTATCCATAATATTACTGGTATATCATACATTTATTATCTATTATCCAATAACATACTACAACAACAAGAACAGTCCATAGGTAGGGATAGAAGTAGCAGCTCTTTGAATGATAATACTATGATAACAAAAGGAGAAGAAGGACCAATGAGGGTGTAATATCAATGCCTCACAAGTAGTAGTAGTAGTATTATTATTGTAGATATGTATGGGGTGATGATGATGATGATGGTATGATGATAAAGGATGTTGGTGATAGAGTATATAAGCTAAGAGAAAAGGAATTAGATAATCCACAAGCATCTCATAATCAATTCCTAGCAGAAGTATTGGTAATAATATCAATGGTATATACCAATATTATTATTATTATTATTATTAGATACATAAAGCATTATTGATACATCATTGGAGGACCAATGATATATATTCAGCTCATATTATATTCGTACTACTAATGCAACAACAACATCAATAGCTACTCCTGATGATTATGATCATAACATTTAGGTACCCTATTATGGTAGATTAACCAAAGGTAAAGGATTAGAGGCTTATCGTAATGATATGGCACAAGCAACACTTAATTTAATACGTAAATCTATTTATCTTAATAAGAAGGCTAAGATTCTTATAATTCATTCTAGTACTAGAGATTGGCCTTCTATATTTACTAAGGAGATATATCACTATCTATTATCTGATAGAGTTATGGTAGCCGCATTAGAAGGCTCTAAAGGTGATCTCAGACCAACTGCGTACAGGTTTAATAATAATAAGGATATATCTATACCATATGTTATACATTATCAACATATTATCAATGCATTTACACGTTATACTAGCATAGATGATGTTATTATGATGGTCAATGATAATACTAGTAATAATAATAAGGATATATTTATCGAGATGACATGCTCAGCAACTCATCGTTATAGGAAATACTTTGCCAAAGTATTGAATAATGCTCCTGAACTAAAAGGAAAGAATACTCATATCATTGTGAATAGCCTCATCAACTCATCATCAATAACAAGAGATAATCCTAAATATCAAGATAGTAATATGATAAGTTCTAGTATGGATCGTATGGCTAGAGCTGTATTCTGCCTCGTACCTAGAGGTATAACATCTACATCAAGAAGGCTTTATGAAGCTATAATAAATATATGTATACCGATAATATTAAGTAATAACTTTCGTGTACCATTTACCAATTATCATTATCATAATATTGATATAAACAATAATATAGGTGTAGTTGATAGTAGTAAGTTTATTATTAAATGG